CTCCTCTCATCGATTCTTGTCCAATAAAGTAAAAAAAAAAAAAAAATAAAAAAAATAAAAGAGAAAGAACATTCTCGTTGGAATAAAATATGATTAACTTACAATATTATAATAGTTCTTCTTGGTAAGCGAAATGTATTATTTCTTGTAAAATAAAAAAAAAAAATCCGAGTGTAAAAATAATAAAATAAAAAATAAAAATATTAATGGAATATGAAATGGGGATGAGGAAATTAAAGGAAGACAGGAATTTAAGGGATTGGGTTATTAGTGTCCTACTTCAATATGGCTGCTTCTTGTATTAGGACACTCCTAATTCCTAATCCCTTTTTCTTGTGTCTTCTCTTTTCTTCTCTTCGTTTAATCTTCTTCTTCTTTCTTCTTTCTTTCTTTCTTTCTAACGCAGAGCGAGGCAATTAGACCTGAGCTGGTTTTGACTTCCCAACGACCACCATTATCTTCTGCAGGAATCTAGTGGTGCCTACTGCAAATATAAAAAAAAAGAAACATTACAAATTCAGTTACATTAATCTTCATTTTTATTGCAATTATTTTACACTGCCCAACACGCACATACATTTTTCTGATCGGAAAGTTAAACCTATTTTTGGATTAATTTTAATTGACACAATATTTATTGCAATAATTATAACAATTTTATCGTATCAATTGTATTTTTGAAAATAACGCATATCTTAGAAAATAAAAAAATAAATAACTGATGTGTGCCGAATTAATGCTATATATATATATATATACTTTTGGAATTATTATAGTATATTAAAAATATTCAAAAATAAATTCAACTTCCAAAAGTAACAACTTATTAATAATGTTTTCTTTTTGTGTTGGGCTGTGTTATCATTTTATATTATTTAATTACAATTGTTAGGATAATTAGAAGACGTTAGAGCATGTGAACTTTTTATAATAGTGATCGATAGCCTTCGACTATTAGAAGAGACGAGTTTAGCATTAATAATATTAATAATAATAATAATATTAATAATATATAATTATTAAATCGATGTGACATATCACAAGGTGCGAAAGGTAGAAGAAAAAGTGCTTCTGAGAGTTGACCATGTTGTTGTTGTGATGTTGATATTGTGTTTTAATATGATCGTTTCGAAGTCATGCAAACTTAAAGTTTTAATATACCGCATCCCTAATAAAATACTGTCACAATTCCAAAAAAAAAAAAAAATTAAGAAATTGAACTTTTTACGATACAAACGAACAAAAATGAATTTCGTTTGATTCTAAATAAATTTGAAATCTATTTTGTGAAAATCATCAATTATATAGGAAACCCTTTGAAAATAAATACATTCTCCATAATGATTTATAATAAATCACATTAACAAAAGATATGGCAAAAAAAGAATAAAATTAATTGATTAAAAAACAATATATATCGTATCGAGTTCCTATATGCATATATTCATATAATTTAAAATAATTAAATAAATAAATAAATTATATCTGATTTGTGGTGGGGCAAATAAATTAGTGATTTAAATTCTAAAATAATAGAAATATTTATACTTTCTGTAAATTTCATTTGAATTATAAATTTTAAAAATTGTAACAGTATTCTCTTTTTTACGAATGCGATACGATTCTGCGAACTCAGGTGAAACAAAGCGTGTATTGCCTTGGTAACTCTAATAAATTCTCCGACATTACTCGAGCTTTTTTGTTCTTTTCCTTTCTCTTTCTCTCTTTCATAGATTAATTAGTATTGATATTTATACATGTACATCCGACAATGTAGTAAACAACAAGGACACGATTGAAATAAAATCGAAACTCGTTATAAATATATTTTTATGTGTATTAATACACATATTTTCTATTGCAACAAAACTTTTACCAACAATAAAATTTAATTAACTTGGCCTTTTTATATTTTTTTTTTGCAAAGGATACCAAAAGAAATATAATGCGATGCAAACGCGTACTCGTACGTACACACACACACAACTATTGTTTTAGATTTGTGTTGAATTTCAATTACGATTATATTTTTGTTCTTTTTTTTTTTTTTCATTCATTCGTTTAAAGAGATCGAATTTGTAAATGCGTGCAATTTAAATAGGAGAGAAATAAAAATGATAAGCTTTAATGATAAGCAAGCTAAAACATGCGTGACTTATGAGAGAATGTAATATTATGTTATAGTGTGTTCTAAACCTTATTTATCTTTGGCCCGACGACTACCATCAGCTTCTGCAAAGTTTTGGTAACGGCGCCTGTGGGAATAAATTGGTTAAAAGGAAATGGAAAAAACAAAAAGAACATAAACTCTATATATACATAATAATATATTACATTTAGGAGATTATATTAATAATAATAAGAATAATAATTTATAATATAATTTAATATCTAAGAAATGTATTCTTTTTTTTATCGTATCGAAATCATACTATGTGTTAAAATAATTCTAAAATATATGCAATATAGTGATAAATATTTATTAAGTAATATTATTTATAGTAATATAAATAAATCAATACAATTATATATGTTAAATATATAATTTTAATTGTTTTATTATTAATGAGATTAAAATAATATGTGTGATAGTACGATCTCGATACTATAATATTAATATTAAAAATATTTATTATTATATTTATTATTTTAACTTACCAACAGCTTTGACGAAAAATTTCGGTTTGTTCTTCCACGCAATAAATCCAAAGTATACTGGCACCGACGATGATATCATTAAACAACCATACCCTGTGAAACGAAAAAAAGAAAAAGAAAAAACGCTTAATAATATATCTCATTGTCAATGAAAAATAAATTAATTAATTAGAGGAATAATTGTTACCTGTTTCCAAAGGAGTAATATACATGGGAACCACCGTGACGAAAAGTGTGGCGATAATGTAAACGATTGGAAAAGCAAGATTAACTTTAATTGGTCTTGGCAAATTTGGTTGGGCCCATCTTAGCCATGGTAGACATAAAACAGAGACGCCTATGCTTAACTGTAAACAAATATGATTTAATTATTAATTAGAGAAAAATTCTTGACGTTCGATTGGATACATATGAATTAAAATAATTATAAATATAGAAAATTAATATATTTCAAATATAAACTATTAGATTAAATTTATAAAATTACAAAATAAAAAACCGACAGACGTAATAGTAATATTTATATATATATATATGAGTAAAATTTGTTAAATATAGAAAATTAATATATTTCAAATATCAACTATTAGATTAAATTTAAAAAATTACAAAATAAAAAACCGACAGACGTAATAGTAAAAAATAAAATTGGATAAAAGAGAGAATATTGAAAAACAAATGAATAAATGTAAAAAAAAACAGTTTATATCGATATAATGAATTAATAAAAAAACACAATTCGATTAGTTACGCCAATGGCATTGCATCATAAATTTTCAAATGCGCACCTCGAGCTTTTAGTTACAAGCCAATTAGAAAATTATCAATTATCTACCGCGATTATTAATAATTGACGTGACAAACAGACAATTAGATTGTTCATGAAACATCCGACGTATAACCTAGATATTACTAATTGTATGATGCAATTATAAATTGTTAATTATTGAACTTTCTAGCTAAATAACATTGAGATCAAGTACGGCATAAATGTAGAAACGTACAAAAAAAAAAAAAAAAGAAAGAAAAATGCCAAGTATTCAAAATTTCAATACAAACATTGTACAATCCTCTTATTAAGAGAAAATAATAAGCAATAAAAAGAAATAAATATAAGAAAGATATTGCAAGCAATTCTTTTTATTCAATGTCAATTACACATTGACTCGCGGGGAATTAGAAAAAAGAAGAATTATTTGTAACACGAAATCTAAGGGTAAAGTTACATCAGAAAATTGATTACGTACCCAAGTGGCAAAGCCGACGTAGTTGATCAAAGCAAAGATATCAGAAGAGCACAAGTATAACATTGACAATAGTGCCTGTAATAAATAAAACAAAACAACAATTGAATTATTATAACAATCCCATCATCTTCGTCGATACAGGTTCACATTTATATATTTTTTGGTAATCCTAAGTGTAAAATTTTCAGGCCCGCAAAATAATTTGTCTAATTCGATTAATTCGAAATTGATATGCTTGTTTGTGACTTTATTTTTTTTCGTATTTTAACGAATTAAGGAAACAATAAATTTTTATATGCATGTAAAAAAGAAATTTAACAAATTTTATTAAATTTACTATTTCACGTAAGAGTTCAATAAGTGCACAATTCTAATATAAACTTTGAAGAATCAAATTTGTGTAATTATACAAATTTAATTGTTTGTTACATTACTTTGTATGTCCTGTATACCTTTCAAACAAACTAACATCAATTATTTTTCATATTATTATCGGCAAGAAATAAGGGTTTAAAATAAAGTTTCAGTTTCCAATCAAATGCATAGGACAAATGCAAATCCGTATTATTGATTCTTTGAAATATTTTTATATTGCGTATAAGAAAAGTGCAAAATTCTTTACGAAAAAATACTTATAAAAATAATTCCCTTTTCTAAGAAAAAGTAGAGAAATACTTCTGATAAAATGTCCAGTGTGTAAATATTTGATTTGCTTTTAACCAACACAATTTATCGAAGAACATTCCCATTTATTTGACAATTCCTCCAGTAAAAATAAAAAAAAAACACATCTTTTATTCAATGTATTATATTTGTTGATTGAGAAAATCAAACGTACCATACAAATAACAGCTGGCGTTGGTGTCAATCTTGAAACTTGTATCATCGTAAGTATTTCTGGCATTTGTCCCTCGCATGCACCAGCATAAAAAAGCCGAGAAGACGTCAATAGAATTCCATTTACAGCGCCAAATGTTGACAATGCCACAAACACTGGTATAGTCCATGCCATTACTCCGAACAAATGATTGGCAAACGTCTAGTATAAACATACAAACAAAAAAATCAATTAGAAATTAATTAAATTAATTAAAAGAGAAAGAAAATGATCGCTATTTCATTCGTTGTCACGAGATACGATTACAATTCTATCGTTTTCGAGAGAGAAAAAATAATTAGAAAAAAATAATAACAAAAGTAAAACGTTCTCGTATGAACCAATCATTTTGTTTTACGCATGTTAAAAATTAATTAACAATCAAATAATTGCAATTAAAAAAAAAAGAAAACGAATATGTATACAAACTTACCACAGCAACAGCACCACTACCCAAAACTTCGACAGGACTCAAAGTAGTATAAAAAGCCATATTTGTTAAGACGTAGACCACGGTTACCAAGGTGCAAGAAATTGCAATGGCTTTTGGTAAATTCCTGTTGAGAAAAATAATAAAAAACAAAAAAAAAATGATATACGTTAATAAAATTGGCGAGTCATGATGATCGTATAATCGTCAAACCACCCTTAAGAAATTAACTTAATCTAATCGTTTAACGAAACCTCATCATCAGGATCTGCAATTTATCGATCGTTTAAAAGCATTTGCACTTGAAAAGCTTACGTCATCTTACTCGAGTAAGAGCAACGTCTTGTATCGAGGACAATAAAAGCCATGGCCTTATGTTAGTGAATCTTCGGCCATTTTAATTACTTCATGTCGGTGATATTATAGTAATGATCAATAACAATTAAACATTCATTGTTTATGATTGATCTATTACTCATATATATATTTACACTTATTATTAATGCGTGTCTTGACATTTAATTATAAACAAATATTATAAATCTTGTATCATATTGAATTAAAAATAATAATAATAAAAAAAATATCTAATGTGTGATATCGTTATAAGTTGATTTATATCAATGCTGATTGCTATATAATTACAAACAAATACATAACTCTTTTAACAACGACTCTCGATTGCTAGATCATTCTAATAGAAAATTTATTTCTATCTTGATTCATTGAAATATGTATAATTATTTCTTACCTGATCGGATCTTTCAATTCCTCGATGATGAAGTTCAAATAATTCCAACCGTTGTAAGCAAATAATCCTGAATAAAAGCTCAATGCAATGGACGTTATCTCCGTTTTGGTATTATCGAACGTAAAATGTTCCGTGTGTCCTGTAAATTTTGTTTTTTATTGTTTTTTTTTTTTTTTAAATTAAGAAAATAAATTATTCGAAATTTACAATAAAAACTTTGGATATTTGTTTAATCGTTATAATTTTTGTTTCTATAGAAAAATTTCAATTGGAAAACTTACTGTGTTACAATTTGTATATTTTTAATCTCAGTCATATGAAATTCATCAAAAAATTCGTAAACTAATTATCATTTTTGTTTGAGTATAAAAATTTACACACACATTAGAAATAAAAAATAATAATTTTTGATAAGCATCGCGCGAATTGAATGAAATGTCTCGTTTGAAATGTCTCGAGCAAGTTATCACAAATCTTTGGTGTGTTTAAAAATATTAAAATGATATACGAAAAGATTGAGATATCTGTCAATGTAAATTCTCGCAAGCAAACGAATTCGTTTCCGTTTCGTTTTAGCGAGCAATTCGCTTCGTTGAATAGTCCAATTTAAGTGATACTCCTTTTACGCGCATAACATGTACAACGCGACGGTGAAATGATAGAATCGGCTCTGCGCTAGTATTTAACCCACCTTTTTGATTGGACAAATTGTCTCGTCCGGCAAGTGGACAATACTGAAAAGACGTTCAAACAAGACCTTTTTTGCTATTTCAAGGCTCTCATTTTCTTATCCTCGTCTTAAGATACAATCCTATCGTCATTTTGTAATATATATATTTCTTACCAAAAATAAAATAAAAAAACAAATAGAATACAATTTTTTTGGTCGATCCGCGTCGTAATGTTAATAATTTAAATAAGAAAAATTTTGTTAAAGTAATATTTTTTCACAGACGAATATAGTAATAAGTATTTTACATATTTTTTTTGTTTTTTTTTGTGTACAAAATAATCTCGATAATAAATATTAATGAATTTTTAAACGAACGAGAGATATATCGTCTCGAGGTTTAAACGATTAGAGATAAAAAGTAAAATAAAATATGAATCATTTCGAAACATCGATCGATCTGAAAATTCCCATTACGATGATTCGTAAGGTTTGCTAGAATCGTTAACGAATGATAAAAAATAAATGATCCGAGGTGCATTGTCCCGTAACAAATTTATTCGATCACGCTCGTACGCGAATGATCAAGCAAACATTTTTTATCTTTACTAGCTGGATTTCAATAAAATCCAATATAGACAGCGACAATAATGAAAAAAAGAAAAAAATATTGAACACGTGCGGGTTATCGGTAATCCGATTTGAAATATCAAAGTAAATCGATTGAAAAATATATTTCCAATCGTTAATCTATTGAAAATGTGAAAGGAATTCAAATGAAAAAAAAAACAGAAACATGAAAAAAGCTTTATATTCTTTCCATTAACGCAATGTATCAGATTTCTCCTATTTTATAGCAATGCGGTAAAAAAGATGGAAAGTATAATGAGTGGTGGGTCAGCCAGATACGCGAATGAAGAAAGAAATAAAAAAATAAAAAACAAAGAAAAAATATTACGTATTACGTTACACAAATAGTAATAATGTTGCTAAGTTAGTATTTTTCTTATCGTTCATTTCTAATCTCTTTTTCTGTGAATGCAATATTATCTAAAGTAAGATTTGTTCTTACCGGTGAACAGTTGATAAGCTCCGGTACAGATTATGATAAAAAGTGCGAGAAGTTTAGCATACGTAAAGATGTCTTGCACTTTTGTTGCCCAATTAACGTCCCAGCAATTTATAAACGCCAATATACCTAAAAAAAAATAAAGATATAAATCAACCGATAAATATTTCTTTTTTTTCCTTACAAAAAGAATTTTATCTCGCGTTAGACTTTTTTATTTAATTTCTTCTATCTTTTGTTGTTGTTGTTGTTGTTGTTAATTTACTTGATTCCTTTGATATTTTAATACAAATAAATTAAAAAGATGACTTTCCTATTACTCTCGTTTGAATGAAACTATAATATTTCTAATTAAGAAGAAAAAAAAGAAATATTGTTTTCGACTAAAAGTAAGGGTCCTATTTCTACTCGGATTAATTCAACTCTATCTAATGGAAACAAGTTTTATGCTGCAGTCTGTTAGTAAGAACATACTGGCACCGATCCAGTCAGCTATAACGACAGAAGGGGTAGAAACGGGTTCTGGTTGGTTATCGACCCGTTCGTTCATTCGTTCGTTCGTTCGTTCTTTCGCGGAAAAGAAAATTCGTGTTATTCGAGAAAGAGAGAGAGAGAGAGAGAGAGATGCCGTTTAACAATAACAAATATTTCATTCTTCTTATCAACCATTTCTCACATATATATACGAGCTGTTTATTTTGAAAGTGGCATAAGTCACTTTTTCAAAAAAAATCGAGTTAATGGCAACACTAATTAAAATTGAACGGAATCTTTGTATTTTCAATAAAAAAAAAAATGTGACTTATACCACTTTCAAAATAAACGGCTCACATATACATATGCCTAATGTAAAACTTTATAAAAAGAAGTTCCAAATTATCCGACCATTTTAATAAATCTATTTTTATTCATGACAAAATTCAACAAAACATTCATAATTGCCTGCATTTCTTCGATACATTTTTTTAAATAATAAAATAACGCGAACGAAATATAAATTAGCATCGATATAAAAAAAAAAACAAAAAAGAAGAATTGTTTTAATTCATGCAATATAACAATAATAATATTACAAAGAACAGCACGTCTGATTAAAATTGAAAACGTTCCATTAGTTAAACGCATAATCACTGTTCCTGTCTACAATTTGTTTTTTTTTTTTCTTTCTTTCTCCGTTCATGTCCTTGATAGATTTGTTAACCGGCGCCGAGGAGGAAGAAGAAGATGATGATGATGATGATGATGATGATAATGATGATGATGACGACAAAGAAGAAAAGAAGAGGAAAAAGAAGAAGAAGAAGTGGAAGAAAAGGAAGAAATTCAGACTGATGCAACATCTCTGCAAAATAACGTGAGATTCTTTCCGGCCTTTCCCCCACCACCGCACCACCCCTTTACTACTCGCAATCTGTTCTTTTCCTTTACACTTTTCGTCTCTCTTTTTCTCTCTTATTCTTATTCTTCCTCTTCCTCTTCGTGTTAAAGAGAAAAAAAAATAAAAAGAGAGAGAGAGAGAACATGTGCTAGTTGTCCCCTTCGGCGAATTAATGTCGTTGTGTGTCGGCCTGTTGTCATGTTATTAGATTATATTTGATGACAATAGAACGTGATTGGTGCCTGTCTTTCGTCGCGTGAGTCTATGTTCGTCATCATTTTACAACACTATGTTTCTCTTTCTTTTTCTTTTTCTTTTTCTTATTCTCCTCTCTTCTTCTCTCTCTCTTTCTTACACTCATTCTCTCTTTTTTACTTTCTGTTACACTTGTTATATCCTTCTTTTTCTATCTTCAATACTCGTGGTCGTTGGCACCGTTCTTCCATCGTTTTTAAACGGAGGAGAATGACTTTGTTATTTTATTTTACATTTCTTTCCTTTTTCTTCCTTAAATTTATTTCAACCATTTGATTGTATATATATTTTTGTCTTTATACATTATATATATCTATATTTAGAAATAATATTTTTTAAATTATTATATTGATTTGATAAAGAAATATAAGCAGATATGCAAACTGTGAAAATAGGTAATATTGTTCTTGGAAGAAGATAATTAAAAGATTAATTAATTTATTCGAATTATATTAGTAATATTAATAATATAGTAATAAAAAAAAGATGTTGTTTCTTTGATCTTTCTTTCTCGAGTTATTAGTTGTTGAATCATAATTCAAAGGAAAAGAAGAGTGGCAATTAGGTAAATTTATGATATTTCATTTGACTTGGTATACTAAACTGGATATACTTAAATTTAGGCGGTGGTATTTACGTATAGGAAATAATTGACGACATAAGGAAAATCCTCTTACAAATTTACTATCAATCTTCCCGACTTTTCTAGTAATCCTACGTTGTTTTATTACGGGGCAATTCCAAACCTGATAAAAAATCACGACCAAAGATAAAAATAAATCGGAGTAATACGCTCGAGTGAATTCCCCTGAATTCCGATTAGTTTTCCGTTTGTTTAAAATAACGAAAGGAACTTGTTTTTTTTTTTTACGAAACGATCTCATTTAGTAATGACGAAATGTCGTAACTAAATTGAAATGAATAAACCAAAAAAAAAAAAAAAGAAAATTAGAAAAATTTTAAATGAGAATTACGAACGAGAACAAAAAAATTATGATATAATAAATAATATATATAATTATTATATGTCTCAAAAGTTGGAATACAACAACAAAGGATATATATCAAACTTGATACTAAAAATAAACTAATAAAATTAATCAAAATTATTATATCATAAAAATACTACAATTATAATATATATATGGTATAAGTTACAATATATTCAATTAAAATATTTATACAAATATCATTATATATTGGAACATAATGTTATAACTTTTCTATTAACAAAGTAAAGATATCAAATGTTATAATAAAAAAAATGAAAAAAAAAAACGAAACAGTTTGTATGACACCAATAATAATGTAATATTAAATGTTTTAAAAAATGAATATAATTTACCATGAAAACTCTCTTATATACTTTACTCGATTTACCTATGCGTCATCGTAAAATGATCTACAAAAAAGAAAAAGGATAGAAAAGGATAATGTAGATCGAAAAACCACAAGGAAAATAATATCTTTCGTGGTCATGTCTTTCATTACCGCAAAATTGATTATCACCAAAAATAAATTTTACGATAGGAACACTCGCGATTACTATATTATCGTATATAACCGAATATTTTGTTTCAATTCTTTTGACTCTTTATTAGAATCTTTTTTTTGCAAATAATTTTGTATTTTATACAATCGTACGCGCAATACCAATGAAATTCCATTAAACGAAAAGAATTGATGATGATAATGATGATGATCGTCTACTTCGCGTGATACAATGATATTACCATTTACCATGATTGAAAATGGTCGACCATTTCCTTTCTATAACTCGTGATACATTCCATCGAATCGTCATTATTTCCCAGATCAATCTAGACAAAAACTAGAGAATCCAGTTTTTCTCATTATTTTTCTCCCATTTTTTCTTTTTTTCTTTTCTTTTATCATTTAAAATGAAAACGTATTTGTCGATATAATATCCAAGAATTTGTTCAAGATTTTATAAATGTTTTTCTTATAACGAAAAATTTTAAAATTATAGAAATATATATTAATTATAAAATATA